AATATATATGTATATACATATTTGTAAATATATATGTATTTACTTTAAAAACGTATTAATCTAAAAAGATAAAATTCACTGTTACTTCTCGAATGTTAATCTCGCCTTATTATGGTCAATCTACCCTATATTTATTATAAAATTTGACAATAATAATAATTGTTTTTAAGTAATTATTATATCATTGCTAAAATATTTATATTTTACTTAACAGATAAAACGATACTATCGGTTCCGCTTAAATTATCCACACATATATACCGATTTGCTGGTCACCAAACAGAAGACTGCACTTTGCGCCGGTTTAATATATCCATTGCCGATTCGTACTCAAAAGGGAAGCAGAGTGCTAATAGTCGAAGCCGGAAAACGATGGAAACCGAAGGAGGTGTCGATCAATGACTTTTTCAAAGGCATGTTATTGATTTTATATCTAGCGATGGTGGAATACAAAACTCAGGTTTGGTAAAAAAATATTTCTTTGATAGATTTAAGATATAGATTGGCATTTATTAATACTTAAAATTAATCTTGAATTTTTAGCGAGAGATTTGCATATATTGTAGGGATGTTCCGATCTCCAAAAAAAATCGATCTTTCCAAACGAGAATAGCAAATTTTTTAAATTGATCTAATAAATCTTAAATTGATAATTTTAAATTAACTTTTATAAAAAATTTATAAAAAATTTTATAAAAAATTATTTTTCTAACTAAAGGAAACTATTTTAAATTGATATCTTTGTAAAGAATAGCTTTTTTTTTTAAAAAAGAGAACTATTTTGAAGTGATCATTTTACAAAATATCGAGCGAATCGATTTAGAGAAAGCATATTCCTATTTAATTTGTGATTTCTAATGCTACATAAATAAATATGCGAAGTTATGCACTTATAATTACGAAACTTTTTGTTTCTTAGATCGCAGGTACGCATATCATTTTAGACGTCGAAGGTTTTTCTCTTAGCCATTTGACGTATATCACACCAAGTTTTGCTAAAATGCTAGTAGATTTTATACAAAGATGTATGCCCACTCGACTCAAAGGTATCCATATTGTGAATCAATCCTTCATTTTTAACATGGCATTTGCAATATTTAAACCATTCTTGGAGGTACGATCTTATGATTTAAAGTTACATAACGTTCTTATGATTTACCTTCATAAGTTGCGTAATAATAAACTTTTAGAAAATTTTAAAACTTTTAGTAAAATCTTTATAATATGTTCATGTGCGTTGTATATCACAGGAGAAGTTTCGCAATCGGATTCACTTTCACGGGACAAATTGGGATTCCTTAAAGGATTTCATTGATAAAAAAGCATTACTTAAGAAGCATGGAGGCGAGTTGAAAATGGCTGAAGGACAATACGGCGTAATGTTTTGGCAGAATATGCTTTCATGTGAATCTGTCTTCGAAGGTAATGATATACGGAAAAAAATGATGTTTTCGCAGCATTAGCCGATAGCAGTCTAATTGAAAATATTTAATTCAGTGACAGTATTAACAGGTTCTGCCGGGTCAATTATAACTTAATGAGCATTAATAATCTATTATTTCAAACGATTAATTAGTAAAGTTATTCTATAGTCTTGAGAATTGACAGAAGTGATGGACAAGATTATCTGCATCTCAAATTGCACTAGTCAAAAAGAGTAATCGATTTATTTAAAAGGGATTGATTCTTCGGAATGAAATCTCTTCCTTTTTTTTGGAATGAGATTCTATCTACTCTGGTATTACATTTCTTTGGAATGAATCTCATTCCAAAAGAGCAAATCTCATTCTAAAAATCTGTCATTTTTTAAGAGTAGTCGTATTTTCATTCTTTTTTCAAGACAGACTAAATTTTCAGTCTCTTCGAGTGAGATTTCACTCCACGAAATTTAGAGAATATATATTATATACTTGTTAAATAACATATCAATGGCTAAAAATTACAATAAAAAAATTATTAATATAACTCATACAACACAGAAACTTACAGCAATATTACTGGAATGTTGTAATAATCTGTGCTGTATATTGCCAATTTTCCTTTGATTACTAATCGGACATTTCTAAAATCTGAGATATTTGTCTGAGAAGAAAGATTATAAGTAGATGAGAAACGTATGGACGTAGACATATCCTATTTATTTTTATAATTACATTTCAGCATTCTTAAAATCCATTCTTTTCTGATAGCGTATAAAAAAAGTAACTTGTCCTTATCATTTTTTAAAATAAAACTCGCAAATTCAGAACAAGCCTTCTGATAACACTGGTAAGGTCTTCTCTACTAAAAAAATGCTAAAAGACAATGCTATCACTCAAAAAAAAATTTCCATCATCGTTTAATCACATTGTGTATTTCTTTGATCAAATATTATATATATTTTATTAACCAATAATTAACTTTCAAAACTATTAACTATTCGTAAAACTGGATTTTGTATTATTTATATCTGGATTATATCTTATTTATAACTGGATATTAAACAAAAATCTCCAAAACTGGACTGTTCGGTTAAAAACTGGACGGTTGACAACACTAAAGCTGTATCTACGTCGGAAAGAAAATTAATACATCAATATATGCATCATGTATCATAATTATGTATTCATATAAAAAATTATGTTATAATTATATTAGGTATGGGAAAAAGTTCATGGCGTTTTTCTCATTAGATGGCATTAAAAAATACACCTAATATTTCTTTTATAGGACAAAAGAAATATAAAATTTATTTCTTTTATGTCTATTTATACAGGGTATCTCGTAATTGACGGACGCTCGTGGACAGAGTGGACTAAGTCGAAAAGCCCTCTACTATTTTGCAATTTTCGCAATAATTAAAAAAATATTAATTACTAAAAATTGTCGATTATTGGTGTTCAATAATTTTTTTCTCAAATACTATCAATTTTATAGAAAAACTGCAAGAGACAAAAATTGTTTATTTTCTTTTCAAGAAGTCTAAAAATTTTTTCAGAATTTTTTATCAACTTTTTAGTATTGCATTTTCTTATTTTTACCAATATGAGAAAATATGATATTAAAAAATTTTGAAAAAATTCTGAAAAAATTCGCAGAACTTTATAAGAAGAAACTAAACAATTTTTAGTCTCCTACAGTTTTTCTGTAAAATTGATAGTATTTGAGAAAAAAATTATTGAAGACCAAAATATTCAATAATTTTTAGTAATTAATATCTTGTTAACTTGCGAAATTGCAAAATGGTAGAGAACTTTTCGATACAGTTTAGTCTGCTTTACCTGTTTACGAGCATTGTCCGTTAAATTACGGGATACCCTGCATACGTATATCCAAAATATCAAATATCATGGTTTGAATGAAAAGTTCACTCTGAGTCATCTGTGACCGAGGCGCATGTATAAATGATAATAAAACAAATACGTTATGATCTTGTTTTAATAAATGTTTTAATTAATTATTTGTTACTGTCATTGAATTAACAAGATTTTTTCAAACTGTTGTTTAATGCTGTTAATACAATATTTATTTTCTTTCTCGTGTATACATGTACATATATATATATATATATATTAGGTGTAGTAAAAAAAAATCCATTATTTTTGCATGAAATTGAATAGAAAAATAATTCTTTTTA